AGATAATCTGGAGTTAATTTGGATGAAAAAAATAACAAAAACACAGAACTGAGAGCTGTTGTGGACTGCAGTTAAAGTGAGTTTAGCAGAGTAAATATACACTAGAAAGGGGAAAAAAAGAAAACCAACCCCAAACTCTACAGCTGAATCCGGAAAGTAATCAATCTCAATGAAACTATGTAACATAATTAAATGTTAGCTTCTGACTTATCCTTCTGTTCATTATTTCCTCCTTCAAGTAGTAGGACTTGATACAGGAGGGCTAAGTATCCACAAATGCCTCTGGAATTGGCACATAGGCTTCATCCACATTGTCTTTTTCCTTGCTGGACAGTGAGCACAGGGGAAAACACCTGCTTTTCTTGGCTTGGCATACCTTTGTGTAAATTGAAGGCTGTCTGGAAGTGTGCAAGAGGTGTTTGGATGTGGCATTTGAGTGTATGGTTCAGGGGTGATTGTGGTGCTGCTTTGTTGGCAATTGTACTGGATGATCTTGAAGGTCTCTTCCAGCCTTGATGATGCTGTGTTTTGTAATAGTGCCATGATTTCCACTTGAAGTTTTCTGCTTAAATGCAGCAAAATGCTTTGCAGTTGAAGATTCATGACATTTTATAAAGAAATTGGAAAATAGGGAAATTGTGCTACCCAAGTATATTTTGATTCATTTTCCAGTATGATATTTTTTCCACCCCAGAACCCACACATTGTCCAGATAAGGCATGTCACTTGAACTAGGTTCATACTGGTTTAAGCACATAGTTCTGTGCCTCAATTGTGGTGAACTCATTCTTCTTGCCCAGTGCTGTAAGCCTACAAACTGCATTAATTTGGAAATAATATGGAAATGAATGAGATGGAACAGCCCTGCAATGGGTTTCAAGAGGCAGAAACATTTTGTCTTTCCAAAACCCACCTTGTCTTCCTGCAGGACAGCAGTCTCCAGCAGAAGGGTGTTGCTCCCTGCTGATTTAGACTTTGCACTCCCAGGGAAGTGGAAAGATATCTCCAGGTGGAATAGCAAGCCATGCCTTAAAAATCCTAGCAAATCAGCAAGTACTGGAAAGCTGTATCAGTCTGTGAATGCAATACTTGGGCAATCCATTTCCATTACTTGTGGGGCTTTCTGAGTTTGATTTGCACTTGCTTTGTGTGACCTTGAGTAAAAGCTTTCTGTGGGAATACTTCTTGAGTAAGTCTGTGCTGTGTAGGAGATACCAGAGGTGAGAGTGGGGTCTGTAAGTGGCCAATTTACTGTGTCTTTGCTGTTAATGTTTGTTGGCTGAGTGGTGGAGGCTGACAGCACCAGCAAAGCCAAACTTGGAGACATAAAACCATCATGATGCTGCTGTGTGGTGGCTTGTCCCGAAGCCCACAGTTACACATGTGGGACAACTAATCATAGCTGGACATAGAGGGGGGAAAAAAGGTGTGAGATCAGGGGTGCTGCCTAGTGGGGCAGTGGTCTTAATTATGCTGCTGCTTTGGTGAAAGGGTGTTGAGAAGCAATTTGGAGACCACTGTGATAGCTTGGTGGTATTTTTGTGGAACTCCTCCAAACCTAGGAGGTTGGATGGGTGGAGGCCGTATGATCTGAAGGTGCACACTTGGAAGATCAGCTTTGAGAGGGGTGTGATTAACTCCCTGCTTTTTGCATCTGAGTCACAAGGCACACAGTGCTGAGCACACCAGAAACGCTAAGCAGCAACCTCAAGTGGTGTTCTTAGAAATGATTTGTGGTTAGGGGTTTTTTTGGCTAAGATTTTTCTGGTTTGCTCACTTTGACTGTTTAGCCAGCCTTTAACCTTATATTTACATGAACCAAACCATGCTGTTTGTTTTGAAAACTGGAGCAGGTAGATTGGCTGCTGTCCACAAGGTTTTTCCCCAGGGCAGGAGCCCCAATTTCATTAGAGGGCACAGTTTTTAGCAGCAGAGCCAACCTGTGCTGAAGTCCTGCACTGCTGTCTTCCCTGTGGCTCTCCCAGGGCATGGGTAGAGCTGGTGTGTTTTAAATACTATTCCTGGAAATATCTTACTCTGAGTTATCAAATATCAGTCTTGGGATTCTGTCTTCCCAGTCACCCACTATTTTTTAAGAAGTTTTCCTGCACCATGTCTTAATTCTTCCTGGATAAGGTTACTCGTGAGACTAATACTGATTCCTCAATTAAGCAACCCAGTGTATGCCTGAGGAGGATGGAGCTGAATTTGGTTTTGATCACGCACCACCAGCTCCTTGTCAGTTGTAAACTGCTCACATAAGGAGCACAGGACAGACTTTGTGCAAGTTCAAATGAATTCCTCAGCTCCTCTGGAACCTACAGTCTTTGATCAGGCCCTAAGCATGGCTATGTGACACACGAAAAAATTAATTTGCCATAGCTGATGACAGTGATGGGTGTGTGTATACATTTCTCTCTTGTTTTTCAGTTGAAATTGTCAGTATTTGGTATTTTGCTGTCTTTTCATGGTTAAGGATGTTCCACCCCTACCCAAAATTCCACAAAAGTTTAAAAAATTACCCAACTGTACATATGAATAATAGGGATTTGAGTCATTGGAAAAGAAAAGCAGAGATGGCAGGGCTCGTGATGTATTAAATGCAAACATGAGGAGAATCAGGTGTTCAGTGCAAATATCCTCTGAAATCATAAACAAATGCTTTGTGTAAATTCTAAGTAATAACATCAGGTTGGAGAACAGTTTGGTTCATGGCTGATGTTGAAAAATACAACATGGAACTACTGAGTCAGGCAGGCTGATGATTTGGAATGGGATCGTTTGTTTTGTGTGGTTTTGGGTTTCAGAAGAGGCCTGCCTGCTGCCAGTGGGATGTGATTTTTTTAAATTTGATTTTGCACATAGGGTTCTGTAAAATCAGAAGGGTATTTTAAGGGTGTATTGCCAGGGTGTGATAAGCAAGTAGAATGATAGGGTGCAGTTTCTTAATCCTGTGACAGGAATTTTAGTGTAACTTTCCTTTTTGAGGTTGTTTGAGAATCCTTAATAAAAGGATGCCCACTGTCCACATGTGATAGTACAACCAAATTTGAAGCAGCTTGGTCGTTATTTGCCATTAGATCATATGCCCATAAAACAGGAATGAGTGTGTTCTTTGAGCTGGCAGGGAAGAAATGGGATGGTAAAAAGGAGGGGTTCAGGGTATTTGCTAGTGGCATACCTGTTTCACAGTTGTATAATAATACCTGTTCCTCAGGAAGGATACTGTACCCCAAACTCAAAATTTGTGAAGGAGATGAAAGTTCATTTTCAGGCAGTTCTACAGAAGAGAAAGTAACTGAGGGATGATGGGCAGTGAATGATGTCGGGTAGGGCTGCAGAAATTGCTGTAGCTTAGTCCTGTGGCATTTCTTGTTGATTTTGTTCTTCTTGTGAGTTCTCTTTCTTAAACATAACATCCTTTTGGCTTTGCTTGTTCCTCGCCCTGCATTTCAGTAGATCTCACCTCTTGCTTACTATTCAGCAGCTGTTTCCACACTGCTTAGCTCTTCTGCTCTGGACACTGCACAGTAGTGTCTTCCTGCCTTCAGAGTGACTGTTTCCTTCTTGAGCTCTTCTTCCTCAGACACGTTAGGAAGGAATGCAGAGGTACTCTTGACCTGGGTGCAGGCAAATATTTCCTCACTTCCTGTATAGGCTTGCAGCCTGGCTGAGCTCTCAAAAGCTCAGGTTGAGGAGGAGCCTCACACCGTATGTAGGACATCCCATGTCACGTCTGTTGTGTGCCACGTTGTCCATAGGGCCGTGCTAGACAAGACCAAGCATTAGGTCTTTGATGCTTACAAGTGCTTTTTTTGCCTAGGAAGAGTGCCCAAACTCTTCTTGCTATGGCACTGAGACCATCACAGGAATAAGATTTAATGGTGTTTTCTGACTGCTTTTTGAGGGTGTGTCTGCTTGGACCCATGACTGGCTCAAGGAGCTATGGCTGCTGGAGCTCCTTGTGGCACCAGCAACATGACAGCTGGGTGTGTGAGTGATTTGGGATTCCAGCATTGCATTGGGGTGTTGTGAGATGGCTGCTTATTTTGAGTTAACTCGTGGAATTGCACAAACAGCTAAGAAATTGGATGGGGGTAGAGGAAACAAAAGTTCCAAGTGCTTTAGGTAAGACTGGTTCTTGCAGACCTCAGTCTGGGGCTTTTACTTCACCCCTTTAAGCAGCATTTCATGGTGCCACCTGGAGGGACATTCATATGACAATTTATAGGCTAATTGTCAGTCCAACAGGAAGGGAAATGGCTATTTGGAAGTAAAGTACAAAGTTTGAAAGCTAAAAATTGTCCTCAAAGCAAAAATCTGTTGCGTTTGTCAGTATTAGCAGCAGAGGAGTTTCAGGCTACAGTTAAATGGCAACTGCCTATATGTTGTGGATGTGTGCATATGTATAAACTGGACTTTAGAGCATGTATCAAGTGGTTTGAATTTTGACTACCCTGTGTTTCCTTCAGAAAATGCAAGAAACGCTTTTGCGAGAAGTAATAAGAATGTTTATGCAGCAAAAGGATGAAAGTAAAAATCTTACTAGTAAGAAAGACCTAATTGAAAAGAAAAATCTTATTAGTAAGAAAGACCTGATTGACATCTGCCATTCTTTGGTGGGATGGTGATAAGAATACTAAGTAAAGTGTGTTTTAACTAAGATCTTATAGGTTAGGTTTATAAATTTATATGTGCAAATTAACAAGCTTATGTTATTCAAACTTTTTTTTTTTCTTTGTGACAAAATAAACTCCTGTTTATAATGTAGAAACTAGCATTTTGCCAGCATGCTTAGATTTTTTTTTATCTACTAGTTTGGTGTATTTTTTTTCATGTTATTTTTATGTCAGTAGTATTTTATATATGTCTTTTGCAGAATGAAAAAATATGGAGTTTTAAAATTAGATTTTTTTCCTCCCTCATGTTAATTAAACCACTCCTTATTTTATTTGAGCTTCCAGTAGTTTTAATTTCTATTACTTGTTTTTGTTTTCCAGGTCAGATGTACAATTCCTTGTAAGTATCATTCTGTTGCTTGCTTTTTTTTTTTTCTATTATAACTCTCCTTATTTTAGTAGGTTTTAAGAAAGATCAAGCAGTATCATCAAAGTATTAAAAAAGCTTCCTGAAAATAATTTTTAGAAATAGCAGTTAAAAATATGTATTCAGTTATTTTAGTGATTGTAATACCTACAATGCATTTAAGGATATTTCAAAATATAAATCTGCACTTAAATCTCTTTGCTTTTCAGTTTGTAGAGAGTTCTGGTAAAATCGAGTGCAGGTGTAATGTGCTTAGAAAGATAGGAAAGTACACTTAAAGGTAATAAAAACCAAACAAACCCCAAAAACAAAAGACACAAAATGATGCCCTTAAAGAATTTCTGAAGTGAGTCTAGAACTGCTGTACTGGTCAAGATAACACATATTTATGTGTCAGAAACTTCTGAAAGTGTGTGCAAAGAAGTTCTACCTTAATATTGAATATTAGAATGAGTTAGCCTTTAAATTTTAGGGTCTGAATCAATACTTTCTATGCTTTGGACTGTAAAATAGATGTAGTATTAATTGATGTAGTATTTCTGGCTCTAGATAGTCATGTCTCTTCCTTACTTTTAGCCTTACTTGTGGGAACACATTATGGGAATATGAGAGGGGAAGAGGGGATTATGCTTAGGGCAAAAACAAAATTGCTATGCCAGGTTAAACAAAGCTTCTGATAATACATGAAGAAAACACACATGTGGAGTGTTGCTGTAAATTGTTTTAACTGCTTTAAAAAAAAACTGTACTGAAGAGAGGTCATAATAGCTTCCATCCAAACCATGTGTAGTCAGTGGGTGGCTGAAATAATGTGACAATTGCTTGAATCTAGTTCATATAATCTCACAGAAGTTAAGAGGTGAAACCAGGAAAAGGGGTAAAACCAGGAGATGTGCAGTGAGGTTTCTGTAGAACTGGGGAAACAGAAGTGACTATGGGTCTGTGCATGATATCTATAACTGACTGGACTTCTGCAAATGGGAAGTTCAGAAGTATTGTAAAGACAGAGTTGTGTGTTCTTCCAGGCACTGGGGATTGCAGCTCAATAAATGCAACTGCAGAACCAGCAACCAGTAGTAATGATGATTTATCAGTAAACTCTGCAACTGGGAACAGAATCTCTGCAGGTGGAAGTGTGACAGAGGCTGCCTCACCACCTGATGAGACAAGAGGTGATCTAAGCACTGTACATGTCTGTGGTTTGGGTTGTGACTGGAATGTGAATCTTTGGGGTGTTTTGTACTTCTGTACCGTGATAATACTTTAAGCCTGAACTCTAGTCCAGCATTGCAGGGGCATGAGTCCAACTGCTTTACTGCAGTAGAGAATAAGGCCAAGAAATGCATCTGTACACCTGACTGGGAGTGCAGTTTCATGCTGTGATTGCTGCATGGCCTTGGAATAGTTTTATCCATGTTAGACTCAGACTCCCTTCCCTACTTATTATGGCTTTTTAGGTTACAGGTTAATAGTTCAACTCATTGTGACATACATATTTGAAAAGCATAAGTGATGGCCTACAGCTGAAGTCCTCTGCCTAGTAGAGAACATTCTGTGTCATGTTTGTACAGGACAGGTGTGTGAATCTTGCAGCTAGAAAGGCTCCTCTATTTGGGATGTCCAGTTTAGGAAAGCAATAACCACGTGTTGTGTGTCCCAGTCTTCATCAGCACACTGCATAAAGCTCAAAGCTGAAGCAGCACAAAAATCATTACTGCACCTCGACAGCTTTACTGCTTGCTTGAGGTGAAGTTTGAGGAGTTGGAGTAGACAGCAGAGCTTGCAAGTATGCCTTGCAGTAGAGAAAGGTGGCTTGATTGTTTTCCCAGGCTGATTGGTGTTTTAGAGAGACAAGATATGGCAGGGAGCAGAGTGTTGTATGTGTTTGTCAGCATATATTCTTGTAGGTTAAAATTTTTATTTCTCCTTTTGTAGAATCCAACCTGATTTATAATCTCAAGGCAGAATCCATTGGTGTGACTTCTATCACGTTAAAATGGATGGTGAATCACAATACTTCTGACTCCAACATGTACAGGATAGATGTTCTAAATGGTACAAATGGTATACCTATGAAGAACCTGACATCCAATAAAACCAAAGCAGAAATTACTGATTTAATCCCTGGGACACTGTACAACTTCACAGTGTTTGCTGTAGCAGCTGATCATGAGACAGAAGGAGAAGGAATGTCCATACGCCTGTATACAAGTAAGTCACAGTTTTTTGCATTGCTGTTGCTGGTGGTCTGTGCTTTGCTGTGCAGGGCAGGGCTTTGCCCACCTGCCTGAGGTTGTAAGTTAATAGGAGCCTTACCTGGGCTAGATGCTAAGAATGAGTGGTTCATGTATAGAAAAAACATAGCCTTGATTTATTTATTTATTTATTTACATATGAAACACCCAACTTCCTCTAACCCCCCACCATAAGGCAAAAAATCCTCCACAACGGCAACTAAACCAAAGACAAACCAATAAACCAAACTGAAATTGTCTGCATTGCCACCATACCCATC